CCCCAAAACCCCAAAACCCCAAAACCCCAAAACCCCGAAAGCATGATATATAATGATTAGAGAATATTAATGAGAAATAATATTATTGGCAATCAAATAACCATGGATTAAAAAAGCAAACCTAATAAAATCGACGACTTGAGTTCATTTATTATTTCAGAAAACTCATCACCAAATCTACAAAAATATAATTCTCAGCCAAATGAATCAAGCTTAGGAGAATCGAGACTCAAGCTAATGGAGCTAAGAAAGTAGAGAGTAGTAGAATCGATAAGAAAATCATTCTTTAGCGAACACCGAAGGTCCTAGGATCTAATTAAGACTAAAACGGCTGAAACTAACCTCTTATTAGATCAATCAGATGATCAAATACCTTATTATGATGAATCACCTAGTAAATAGCATAGAGTGTTATGCAAGGGTTTTGAACAAGAGGCAAGGAAAGCAATAAGGTGCCGAAAGAATAAAAAGGAAGTAAACATTCTCACTTCAATGTCACTAACTAGAGTACTTATATTAGATAAAATCAAAGTATATAGGCACATATTAGAAAATACGGTTTGAACTCCACTCTAAGATTTATAGAGCATGCCCATGAAAATAGAAGATAATTAGACCAGCCACTAGTAATAATTCTTATCTAATAATCCCAATGAACTAATTTATCTATTAGGAAGACAAATTAAGGCTACTTGCGCATGAGAGATCAAAGATAAAGATAACGCCAATCCTGAATTAAAAGAGCAAAATAGATCCAAAGTAAAGGAGAGTTACCAAAAAAACGAGTGAAGAAGCTTTGAATTAATGGATGCAGTCAAGGATAAACACGAAAACTGCTTCCTCAAGCATTCTATCAACCTCAAACAATAATCATAACTTAAAGATGATAAACAGGTTTAATGTGAATACACCGAAGAATAAAGAAACATTGTCAAATTAGCAAGGTTCAACCTTAAATGCAGACTTGAATTTAAATCTTCCTCCAATATTTTCTAGAAAGTAATCTTAGTCAAGAGATCTCATTTTTCAATGTAACTTTACTGTTAAGTTTTAATTAATTTCTTAGTAACATCTATTAAGCATGTTGATGAGGAGTCTAATCTCAGTACTCAACGTTCAATTGCTTAGCAACTTTCCTCTCAATCTATTCATACAAAGCAAATGTCCTAATCCAATTTCATTTCAAAATAAAAAATAGATTCCCAACAAAAAACTTTGAGTTTTCCTTTATAAAAAAGGCAGTCAGTCAATGAAATACTACAGTAATGCAAAGAATTGATAGAGAAGAATCAGAAATCTAACAAGGAAATAAAGAAAACAGAAATAGATTACGAATAGTTTAAAGATTAAATGACTAAAGACTAGAATACACTTAATAAATTCATTGGAGAAATCTCAACTCTATGATCATTATACTTAGGTATAACAAGGGGAAACAACTACTTAATCATTGAAAACTATTTAATTTAATTTCATGAATAAAAAGAATGCATTGCTCTCCAAAAAATAATTATAAGTCTTTATGGGGTTTTGGGGTTTTGGGGTTTT